TGTTGTTGTTGTTGTTGTTGTTGTTGTTGTTGTTGTTGTTGTTGTTGTTGTTGTTGTTGTTGTTGTTGAGCAGTTTGACAACAGTTTCTGTTTTAAATGTGCCCTATAAATAAAGTTGACTGACTTGACCAAATCCCCGATTGCTTTCTGGGCACTTACAAAGCTGCCCACTGCTCCACCTGGTCCACCTGGTCCTCTGCTCCACCTGGTCCTCTGCTCCACCTGGTCCACCTGGTCCTCTGCTCCACCTGGTCCTCTGCTCCACCTGGTCCTCTGCTCCACCTGGTCCTCTGCTCCACCTGGTGCACCTCACGTGGTTAAATGCAGAGAACTTATTGAGCCGTTGTATGGAAACGTTCATGCTTTCAAGTTCAACGATGTTCAGTCTGGTCATCTGGACGGTTTCTTTCTTTGCCGAGACGTTTCATCCGAATCTTCAGTCTGAGAAATACTTACAGTGATGACCATCTCAGACTTCCCTTCTCTGGACACAGGTGATCAGAAGCAGTCCACCGCAGACGGAGGAGCAGCCAGCCAGGTGTGTGAGGATGCAGTGAACCCATATGCACATGCAGGTGAGAACGCACTTCCTGCTTCCTGCAGACCTCCAACAGAACATGATCTAAACCCGTTTCCTTTACAGCTTCAGACTCAGCAGCCACAGCTGACTACAGCCAGCAGGTCTATCAGGAGACCAGGTGAGTCAGACCATGTGACGGACTCATCCTACACCTGTGCTTTTAGAATCGTTAGTTCCAACATGATGTGCAGATTTCTTGTTGTAGTTCAAGAACCAGGCAGCAGGTGGAGGTTCATCTCAGACTGCATGAAGTTCATGAAGCTTCACTGTCGGATTCATGGTTTCAACCATGAAACCTTCTGATGAACACAAGAACTATCTGAACATCATCACTGGACAGAACAGACACGAACTCCTACAGAACTGAAATTATTTAAAATCATTTACCCGTAAATATTACCCAGAAGTCTCATAGAGGTCATGTGACCAGAAGTCTAAAAGTACCGGTGGAATACAGTAAATATTCATTAAATCAGTTCCTTTGATTTTATTGTTAAACATTTTGTTAACAGCTGCAGTTTGTAAATACATTGGACGTGATTTCTGCTCAGCAGAGCTCATGAGGAGGAGGGAGGACGGGGCAAGAGCCCCCCACCCCCCGATCTCCTCTGTTCTGTGCGGAGCTTAAATGAGTTTAAACACATATTTACTGTACACAGAAAAATATTTTTAAAACTTTAATTTAAATATGTATCGGTCTTGACTGACTGCTTTAAACATAAACCTGACAATTCTCTGCTGAGCTCTCAGAAAGGAGAGCGGGGAAGAACCCCCCAGTTGTCTCCATGTTCGGGCGAGAGTTTAAAGTGAGATCCTGTTATATAAACGCATATTATATAT